ATGCAGGCTTCAACACCGTTTATTCATGTTACTCAAACACAAATTGAGTATGCTTAATTGTTTTTACAAATTTAAGTTGATTATACATAAACCAATTAAATTATCCCCCCAAAATCTCAATAATTGTGCTTTTTCAGCTCATTTTAAATAAGTACTTTGAACAAGCAGCATTTTTTTGAATGTTTTGTTTGGATTGTTTTCTTCACACTGCAACTATAGTGTAATACCCTAGTGTTCTGTTCAGCCCTATTTTTAATACCCACAGAAAGAACGTGAGTTCTGCTGGTCTGATGATATTATTTTGGTCTCAACATAATGTACAGAATATAGTACTGTTCAAAGATTTAGGCACTTGTGTAAAAATGCTGTAAACTGAAGATGCTTTCAAAAATAATCCATAAATACATTTTATTTATCAACTAACTTATATAAACTAAATAAAGTCACCATTTAGTATGACCACACTTTGCATTTAAAACACTTAGTACACTTTGTGGGTGCAGGTAGGTTTTTTAAAGCATTTTAGAGAGCCAAAGTTAATCTGGATTTAGTTTCTCACTTTGTTTGTCATCAGTGGGTGGCACGGTGGCCCAGTGGTTAGCACTGTTGCCTCACAGCAAGAACGTCACTGGTTCTAGTGCTTACCAAGCCAGCCGACGTTTCTGTGCAGAGTTAACACGTTCTCCCCATGCTCACGTAGGTTTCCCCGGGGTTCCCTGGTTTCCTCCCACCGTCCAAAAACAGGCAACTTAAGTTAATTGACTAATCCAAATCTGCACCATAGACATGCTCCTTGTAAGTAGTTATCTCTTACAGGCAATCACTATCTGTTCATTAGCTACTGCAGCAGGGGAGTTCTCGAGATCTACCTGAGCTCAAACTCCCCTCTCGCCTTGCAAACGGGAGGGAGCCCCGGGCTCAAGGATATTATAAACACGCTTTATAATCAATCATCAGCTAAGTGTGAACTTTTGAAATCAGATCTCTGTGTGGAGCACTGGCTGCTGTCAGACTGCTTGTGCAGACAATAATTTCACTGTAAAATTACAATAATGACAGAAAAATACAGAAATAACAAACTTTAAACCTTTTTTTACTGGAGAAAATACTAGTTTCCTAAGATTTTTGCACAGTACTGTATGTGCCATTTAATGCACATATTTGGTTAAATACAGCAGCTAAAATAATGTCATGTTTTATGCATCTTTTCATGCCCTGACTGAATTGCTGAATTGTTTATTGAACTTTACTGGTCCCTAATGCGCCCTCTAGTGCACTCTATTACACTCGTCAACTGGAACTTTCACTCAGAGTTGTGGTGTTTTATTACTGTGTTTTTATAACTGATGCTCCTTCATTCTGATTGGCTGCTCACTCTCTCCATATGAAGGGATGTTCTTACTAGCAGTGATTTGCAGCAATACTTCAGTCATTTAATTGTCGGTGAAAGATGTCCCGTTGAAGTCAGAATAAAGAGCCCCCTGTATATTTTTGTAAAATTTTTGTTTAAAGGGAAGACATTTTTTCAACACACTTGTAGTTTTGATAACTCATTTCTAATAACTGATTTATTTTATCTTTGCCATGATGACAGTGAATAATATTTGGCTAGATATTTTTCAAGACACTTCTATACAACTTAAAATGACATTTGAAGGCTTAACTAGGTTAATTAGGTTAACTAGACAAGTTAGAGTAATTAGGCAAGTTACTGTATAATGATGGTTTGTTCTGTAGACCAGGGGTCACCAATCTCGGTCCTGGAGGGCCGGTGTCCCTGCAGGGTTTAGCTCCAAGTTGCCTCAACATACCTGCCTGATGTTTCAAGTATATCTAACAAGACCTTGATTAGCTTGTTCAGGTGTGTTTGATTAGGGTTGGAGCTAAAATGTGCAGGACACCGGCCCTCCAGGAACAAGTTTGGTGTCCACTGCTGTAGACTATCGAGAAAAACAAAATACAGTACATAAGAGGTAGCGCTGGGCAATTTGGCATAAAATCAGAAACTTGATTAGTTAAACATTTGAACTCGATCACAATTAATGAACAATTATTTTATGTGATTATATATTTTATTAGATTTTTTACAGTAAATTTGTTCACATATTACAAGTGAAAGATGTTTGAATGAAGATTGCATAACTTGATTTTAGAATAACACACTATCTACAAAGACACACTACAAAGAACACACATTATCTACTATCTGTGGTTATTTAATAAACATCAACGTTGAACAACTAAATTAAAACACACATTGCCTAAAACCAAGTCATTTTTTTCTTATAAAAAAGTGAAATAAATAACAAAGTAAACAATTTTCATTGTTTTCAAAACTAGAAAATAAGCAACATTCATTCATTCATTCATTCATTTTCTTGTCAGCTTTGTCCCTTTATTAATCTGGGGTCGCCACAGCGGAACAAACCGCCAACTTATCCAGCAAGTTTTTACGCAGCGGATGCCCTTCCAGGAGCAACCCATCTCCGGGAAACATCTACACACACATTGACACACACACACTCGTACACTACGGACAATTTAGCCTACCCAATTCACCTGTACCGCATGTCTTTGGACTGTGGGGAAAACCGGAGCATCCGAAGGAAACCCACGCAAACGCAGGTAGAACATGCAAACTCCACACAGAAACGCCAACTGAGCTGAGGGTCCAACCAGGGACCTTCTTGCTGTGAGGCGACAGCACTACCTACTGCGCCACTGCTACGCCCAAAATAAGCAGCATCTCTTCTAAAAAAAAAAAACTTTTGCATATCCTGTAAATAATGTTTAACAGTGCTTTGCTTGAATCTTCTGTAAACAAATATTTTATTGTAATAGAAAATATGGCGTCTCAAGGTATATCTAGCACAGCTTCAAATCATTTACTGCAAACTTCTGACGTGTAGTTACTTTTTTTTTTTGAGAGGCTTTTTTTTTTTTTTTGCAAAGGCTGCGCCAGACCATACCCGTGTATTCCATGCAGAAGTATAAATCAGCCTTAACAGAGCGGGATCACGTGACTCCACACGCGGTAGGTAAAGTAATTGAAAAATCAATTACTTTAGTCAGATCAACTGACTGTCAATTTCGATATCTTTTTATGATCAATCGCCCAGCCCTAGTAAGGGGGCTAATAATATTGACCTTAAAATAGTAAAAAGTAAAACTGCTTTTAATTCTAGTCGAAACAAAACAAATAGGACATTCTCCAGAAGAAAAACATATTATAGGAAATACTGTGAAAAATTCCTTGCTTCGTTAAACATAATTTGGGAAATATTCAAAAATCACTTGTGGGCTAATAATTCTGACTTCAACTGTATGTTTAATACAACTAATTTGAAGCTGGTATAAGTCAAGTAAAAATGAAGTCTGCATACTCTCCTGAACAGATATTTGCTTTTAGATGATGAATCATTCCTTTTCAAACACTTAAGGTACATTCTATATATAAATAAAATGTTCAATTTGGACGTAATCTGTAGGTACAACATACAATGTCTTGCTATTGTACCATTTGTTTTTGCCTACCTCTTAAATTCAGACAATCATTTTGCCATGCATTTTTACCTGTAATATAAAGAAAGTGTGGGATTTTTTGTTTGTTTGTTTCTTTCCGGATATTTCTTCATTGTTTATTTGTTTATTTTTTGTATCCATTATATACGGTTGAATTGGCCGTTCTGATTTATTAGCCCCCCTGTTTATTTTTTTCCCCAATTTCTGTTTAACGGAGAGCAGATTTTTTCAACATATTTCTAATCATAATAGTTTTAATAAATCATTTCTAATAACTGATTTATTTTATCTTTGCCATGATGACAGTAAATAATATTTGACTAGATATTTTTCAAGACACTTCTATACAGCTTAAAGTGACATTTAAAGGCTTAACTAGGTTAATTAGGCAAGTTAGGGTAATTGGGAAAATCATTGTATAATGATGGTTTGTTCTGCTGACAATCAAAAAAATATATTGCTTAAGACAGCTTATAATACTGATCTTAAGTTTAAAAAAAAAAACTTAAAAACGGTTTTAATTCTAATTGGCCAAACTGGCATTGGGTTAAAAGAACCAAAAAAAAGACAGAAGTTCCAGCACATATCTCACATTTTCAAAGCAGAATATCTGACTTCAGCGTTGTTTTTCAGATAAACAAATTTGATCACTTATCATGTTTCTTAAATATCTGCAATTTTTTTGCCATGCTCATTTTCATAAGGCATTGGGTGGGTTAAATGACCGAAACAAAAAGACGTTCATGCACGTAATGCACATTCTCAAAGACGAATATCTTACTTTAGCATTGTTTTTCAGATAAACAAGAATGCTAGCCTGTGTCTTAAATATTTTAGCATTTTCCCTTAAATATCCGCAAACACATTTTGGTATTTTTATGCTTTAGAAGAGTCAAAAACTTACGTCACCTTCAAGGAGAACTTTTCTTAATATTGACTTATTTCTGAAAACAAGAGTATATTTTCAGCTTCTCTAAAAAAGCCTGTTGCCTTACGAATTTGATAGAGATTTCAATTTTATTAATAGATATTTGCCCTAGAAACAAGACAAAAACTCTAAGCGAGTGAAGCATTTTTTGCAGTGTATGTGCACTCTAAGAATGCAGCAGTTTTTGAATTTGAGTACAGATGCACTCTAATTTAGCTTGTTGTTTTTGAGACATTGAGAAGACTTGTCAGACATAATTAAAGACTCCACCTTTGCATCACCGAGTATTTGAGACTCCTAGATTGCTGACGCGTGTGTGAGTGTGTGTAAATGTAGCAGCGTCCGTGTCATAAGTCCAGGAATCCACCGTGCTCCCGCAATCCACTTTTATCATCCAGGCTAATTTCTGCCTGTAATCAGATTACTGCTGTGAGCTGCCTTAGCACCTCTCTCTCTCTCTCTCTCTCTCTCTCTCTCTCTCTCTCTCTCTCTCTCTCTCTCTTGCTCCTTCTCTCTCTCTCTCTCTCTCTCTCTCTCTCTGTTTGCTTTAGTCCTCCAGTTTTGCCGGAGTGCATTTCCATCAGCTCGAGTCTGTCCATTGCAGTCCCTCTCTCTCTCTTGCTCTCTTTTATCCATCTGTCTGAGCCTGTGATCAGGTCCGTCTGTCTTTTTTTTGTTGTTTTCCTCCGTTTTCTTCTTTCCTTTTCAGTCCAACATGTTCCATAACCCGTGGATTACGAACTATCTTAACCATGTCACGCAGTGTAGTCAAGGTAGGTCTGTTGTTGAGAACGATTTGGTTAAAACTCATTACCAGGACGTTGATTGAAAAGTTCTAAATAACAGAAAGGATGTTGCTGTTTGATTTGCAAATGCATGGATTTGTGTGGTCATGAAGTTAGTCTGCACTGTACAAATGTCCTTAAATGAGCTGTTTTAGGTATTTTTGTGATTTTTATGTTTTTCGTTTTATATTTATTTATATATTTCCCAGTTTATTTATGCTTTTGAATTGCATTATTGGACCTTGATCTTACCTCCAAAATCATTTAATCTAGAAAAGCTTGAAAAAGTGGCTTTTATTAACCTTTTTAATAGTTTAAAGCGATCAATGGTCTGGCTTAGTGTTGTACAGTATATCACGCTACAAAATCTTTGTAATAAACTGCCAGTGCATTTTATGCTGTTTTACAGAATTAATTATTTTATATAATTTTTTATACATTATATTATTTCAAACTACTAAAATGTCAATAAAAGTTGCTTTGTTAAACTGTAGAGCTGAATTTTCAACATCAAAAGTCGACAAAGCAGAGATCATCATCCCATAATGCAACTCACAATCGTAAATGAACAGAAAACATTTGTGAAACTGTTGATTTACATTAAGTTAAAGGGACAGTTCACCCAAAAATTGTAATTATGTCTTCATTTTGCTCACCTTTGATTTATTCCAAACCAGTTTGAGTTTTTGTAAAGGATATTTTTTGATGAAAGCTATAAATATGTGAGCATTGAATTCGATACACTGTAAAATGCAAAAAGTTAAGGTAACTCCAACCATTTGAGAACACCGATTGCAACAAACCATTTAAGTTCAAATCTAATCCTAATGAGTGCTGTGAACTTAATCCATTTGAGTAAATGAAGCAAGCTGAGCACAGTAAAACCCGATAAATGAAGAGAACTCAAACCAACCGAGTACTGTAAAACCCAATAAGGCAACTCAAACCGTTTGAGGAAACCGATTGCTGCAAACCATTTGAGTTCAAAAACTAATCTATGCGAGTACTGTGAACTTGCTCGATTTAAGTTAAAGTAATAAGGTATTTAATTAGCTTATTACCATCAACAGTGAGTTCAAAACTCTTTGCGAGTATTAGCTTTCAGTCAATTTTGATTTAACTACACTAATTTCATTTGATAAAGTTGACTGTTGGGTTTTACAGTGTCATATTTATTTATCCTACTATGAAAGTCAATGGTTAAAGGTTTCCAACATTCTTCAAAATATCTTCTTTTGTGTTCAACAGAAGAAAACAGCACTAATTTAAGTAAATTATGGCAGAATTTTTTATTTTATCTCTTTAAATGGCTTTACCTTTGTCCTACTGAGTCAACTGATTATTTGTTCAATTGATTAACCAATCAGATGAATTCCTGTGCTGCGCTTTAACATTGTGGTGAACTGCAGTGGTGATAAGCTATAGATCTGTCTGGATGATTTGACCATTTTGAGATTGTCTGCATCAGCTCATGTCTGTTGCCAAATGGCCCAAAGTGGAGATTCTGCCTGGAGTCACTTTAGAAAATGTGCAGGCAGCTTTGTCAGTGGGAATTTGCTAATAGAAATTGACATTTTGTTGAAATATTGTTAAATTGATTAAGTGTTTGAAATTCAATAATGCTGTTCTTGTGTAGTCATATTTCTCTGCTTGTTTTTTTATTGTATTATATGATGTATTATCTTGTGTAATCAATTTATTGCTTATTATATAACATATAAAATCATTCAGCCTACTCGGAGAACAGTTTCAACTATTAAGGGAAAAAATAAGATCAACATTTAATATGTTATTATTATTTAAAAGTTGATGTGGGAAAGCTCAAACAAAGAGAACATACTGTAAATGAATCGAAATATTGCAAACTGAAAATCCATATCCAAGTCCAAACAGAAAACCTTTTAAATTAATATTATCAATTCTTACTATTTACATTTTGGTTTGGTTTTAAAATCAGTTTTGAGGGTAATCAGCATTATTTTTCTTTATTTTTATTTTAAGTATACGTATGTTTAAGTCTTTTTTTTTTTCTTTTTTTACTTTGTCTTTATAAGACTTTATCTACTCTAAATATTGTGTCAAATTACATTTATTTTTCATTAATATTTGTTAGAGTTGTTTAAATTAATTTTATTTTCTTTCTTTCTTTATTATTTTATTTATTTGTGTATTTTATTAATTTAATAATTAATTAATTAATTTATAATTTTATTTATTTATAATTTGATTAATAAATTTTTTTATTAATTAATTTTATTTATTCATTTGTTATTTTACTAATTAATTCATGCATTTAATTTTTTTATTTTATTTATTTATTATTTTACTTATTTTTTTAGTAATTCATTTATTTGAAATATTCATCAACACTACATTAGGGATTTATAATTTATCTGTATAAACCTTTCAGAAATTAAAATTTTATCATTATTTCCTCATCCTCCACTTGTTCCAGACCAGTTTTTTAAAATTATTTTTTTTATTTTATTTGTATTTTTTTATAAGAGTTTTTTTAGTCTCTTTATTAATCTGGGGTCACCACAGTGGATTGAACCGCCAACGTATCCAGCATATGTTTTACGCAGCGAAGGCCCTTCCAGCCGCAACCCATCACTCGGAAACATCCATACACACTCATTTACACACACACTCTGTGGCCAATTTAGTTTAGCTAATTTACATACAGCGCATACTTTTGGACTGTGGGGGAAACTGGAGCACCCGGAGGAAACCTATGCAAACTCGGGGAGAACATGCAAACTCCACAGAACTGACCTGGCCTGGGCTCGAACCAGCGACCTTCTTGCTGTGAGGCGATTGTGCAACCCACTGCACCATCGTGATTTTTTTTTTTCTTCTTGTTTGAAAAATAGAATAAATTCTTTAAACAATTTTTTTTATAATAAAGAATATTGAAAAAAAAACAGCCAACATATTTTTGCAATTGCATTGTTTTTCCAACATTATTCAGAATATTTTGTTATGTGAACAGAAGAAAGAAATTTATAAATGTTTTGAAATACTTGAGTGTGAGCAAATGGAGAGGAGTTTATTAATTTTGAGAAGGGCATTTGCTGCGTAAAACATATGCTAGATAAATTGGCGGTTCATTCCCCTGTGGTGACCCCTATTGAATAAAGGGACTAAGCCGAAATAAAAATGAATGAGTAAATTAGAATATAATTGTACTAAGATTTAGCTATTTTGTTGTATTGCTGTACGTACAGTTGAAGTCAGAATGATTAAACTCCCTTTGATTTATTTATTTATTTATTTTTTTAAATACAGAACAAACCACCGTTATACATTAACTTGCCTAATTACCCTAACCTGTCTAGTTACCCCAGTCAACCTAGTTAAGCCTTTAAATGTCACTTTAAGCTGTATAGAAGTGTGCTGAAAAATATCTAGTCAAATTTTATTTGCTATCATCATGGCAAAGATAAAATAAATCAGTTATTAGAAATGAGTTATTAAAACTATTATGTTTAGAAATGTGTTGGAAAAAAAATCTCTCCATTAAACAGAAATTGGGAAAATAAATAAACGGGGGCTAATAATTCAGGGCGGCCAATAATTCCAACTTTAACTGTAAATGCAGTTTTGGACAGAATAAGAGACCAAAAGCATCAGAAAACCGTATCAAACATCAGCCATCAGGTCTTATTAAAGATAGTCATGTTAGTCGTTCGTCTTTAAAATCCCCAAGAAATCAAAACTAACCATATGATTTTGTTAGCTCACAATGCTAGCTTTGTAGTGAACAATTCATCTGTGCCATCATTGAGAAAAAAAGTAACCTTCATAATCTTTAATCGAAATCTGAAAATGCACTTCCTGTTTGTTTTCAGTTAAATTAGCAGATGATGTGATTTTGAGGGAATGGGCGTGGCTAACATACTTAACCATACTGCTCCAACTGTCAGTTTCGACAACAAATACAATGGTGAGCAGGATGAGTCTGTTAGGTTGTAATAACTCTTCTAAACCCCCTTTCTTTCTGATTAAAATGCCTATAACGTTACTTTAACTACATCCATTCAGCTCACGGTCGAAAAAACAAGCCACTTCTACTGTTTGCTCTTTTAATATTTTGTTTCTCTAGGAACTGCGGCACAATATGAATAAAAATTTTGATTTTAGCTTCCGGTTCATGCACTGAATCTCCATTTCATCTGCTAAAGCTTTACAGTGGTAACTGATTTAATGTCACATCTCTAGTCCCTCCAGCTGTCACACTGTATAAACCTGAGCAAACTGTTCATGAATTGACCTTAGCTTGGCAGCATGTGATAATTACTGTTGTGCTGTCCACACATCAGATCATAAAATCCTTCACACAGACCTTGTCTAGAAGTGGACATCGCTCTGTAAACTAGTTGCGTTATAAGAAGATGCGGAACCTTTGAGCAGGATCTATTTTTTACCCTGATCTACAAATGGTATTTTTAGAAAATACCTTGTTCTTCTTGTCTCTGCTAATTTGTGGCTGTCAACATCCTCAGATGATTCTCTGGGATTGAAATTTAGACTTCATTGAAGTACATGAGGATTTTTTAAAAAACACGTTTACTTTTGTTTGGCTGTTGATCATCCTCAGATTTATCTGTTGACCAACACTGGAAAGTGTTAAACACAGTAATTCATAAAGTTGTTTGCAATGCTTTTGTAGTCTAAATATTTAATCATTCTTAAATCAAGGATTCTCTGGGGCAGTACCTTTTCAAAAGGTACATATTTGTACTTGAAGGGTCCATAAAGGGTGAAGCAGTGGCACAGTAGGTAGTGCTGTCGCCTCACAGCAAGAAGGTTGCTGGTTAAAGCCTCGGCTTAGTTGGCGTTTCTGTGTGGAGTTTGCATGTTCTCCCGTTTCCGTGGGTCTCCTCCGGGTGCTCCGGTGTTCCCCACAGTCCAAAGACATGCGGTTCAGTTGAATTGGGTAGGCTAAATTGTCCGTAGTGTATAAGTGTGTGTGTGTGTGTGTGTGTGTGTGTGTGTGTGTGTGTGTGTGTGTGTGTGTGTGTGTGTGTGTGTGTGTGTGTGTGTGTGTGTGTGTGTGTGTGTGTGTGTGTGTGTGTGAATGTGAATGTGTGTGTTTGGATGTTTCCCAGAGATGGGTTGCGGCTGGAAGGGCATCCGCTGCGTAAAAACTTGCTGGATAAGTTGGCGGTTCATTCCGCTGTGACGACCCCGGATTAATAAAGGGACAAAGTTTACAAGAAAATGAATGATTGAATGAATGAATGAATGAAGGGTCCATAAAGGTACCTCAAAGGTACTTTTTAGGTATATTTGGGTACTAATATGCACCTTTGAGGGACCATTGTGGACTCTTTGGGTACAAATATGTATCTTTTCAAAAGATACAGCCCCAGAGACAACTTCTGTCCCTTTATTTCTGAGAGTGTAGACAGTAGACTATTGTAGAAAATAGTGTCTTGTCTTGAAAAATAATGTGTCGAAATTGAGTTTTTCCTGAAAACAAGCTAAATAATCTGCCAATGGGGTAAGCTAAGTTATCTTATGTCAAAATGAAAAACAAGATTACTTTGTTTCTTTGAAGGAGAGCTTGCTTAATTTAACATTATTTCTGAAAACAAGACAATATTTTTTGCGTGTCTAGAAATCGCTTCTTGATGTAAGAATTTTCAGAAATGTACTTGAAACAAGACAAAACTAAGTAAGAAAAGCATTTTTACAGTGTAGTAGAGCAAAAACTGTATGATGGGTTTAATAGCCCAAAGTATAAAGGCATGGTGGAATGCTCTTGAATTTTTTGTTGTTTTTTGATAACAAATGGAGACATTCTGGAAAAATAAGCCATTTAAATGATCCTCCCTTATCCTAATGTCTTTGATTCCTTTACCATAATTTAAACAACATTGAATGACATGAAGTTCACACAATTATTTAACTTCAACCTGTAAAATAAGTTAATACATGGAAAACTGTTAATCCACACTCGCACCAAGATTGATAACTATAAATAATCAGCATTATGTGTTTGCAATAGGCTACTTATGATGTGTAAAGGCATGCAAGGTAATATTGTTATTCACTTTGCAAAAACAAACAAACATGCATCTCAACAACTTTAAAACCATATATCCATTGACTGTGTGGCAGAGACTATATTTATAATATTAATAAATCTAAAATCTAATAAATAAAAATAAAAATATATATAAATAATGTAAAAATTTTATTTACGTACACGTTTAAGGCTGGTTTATACTTCTGCATCAAGTGATAGGTGTGACCCACGACACCTGTCTTGCATGTAGTTGTGCTTTTATAATTTTAGTGTTTGTGTTGCTTTGCAATAACACTTCCAATACACTAGCTGGCAGTGGGTTTATATGTTCCTCTGCATCGTTACGATGTGTAGTTACATTTTCTAAGAGGTGCGTCAGCATTTGCATCAGCCACAGCGAGCGATATGTGACCGCGCGAAGGCTGCGCCATGCAGTGTGCACTTGATACAGAAAAAGAAATCAGCCTTCATGTGTTGCCAGTTCTAAAAATAGCACTTGAGAGAAATTACTTCACTATACAAAATCTTATAAATATACAAAAAATTTTACAGTGTTTTTAAAAAAATATATATTACTATATATTATATAGTTAAGTAATATCACTCGAGTGCTATTTTCGGAATGCAACGCATAAGCGTGCACTGTAAAAGTTGCTGGGTTCCACACAAATTGATTAAGTGAACTTAAAGGGCCATGAAACCCCCTCGTTTCAGCAGGGTGTTTTCACACCTCTACTTTGGTAAAAGTCAGAAAAGTGGGCGTGTCCAGCTCTGTTTAGGGCGGAGTGTCGGAGGAACTAAAGTGGGAGGGTGTGGGAGTGTCTATTTGGGCACGCGCGAGTTTCAGTCAAAATACTCACACACAGTAGAAAGTGATGGTGTTTAGTTCGATACGAACAAACTGAATAAACAAAGAGCACTGGTCGCTCACTTACCAAATCTGTAGAGACAGGACAATCACCAGCAACTAGAGCCGCGTCTTTATTAAGAGAAGACTACAAGCGAATCCAGATCTCAGCGTTTGCAGATGAGAACAGCTCTCAGGTAAACAATAATCCTCCTTAGACACGTAAGTTTTTGTTGTCGAGCGTCGCGTACACTGTTAATCCACACGTGACTCCAGCTGAGCTCTCACAGAGAGCAAATGAAAACGAAACTTAACGGCAGCAAACTATAAAAGCAACACTTCACGCTTGTTTTGCCAACACAACGTGGCGTCTATAACGTGTAAACACAGTAATGAATATTAATGAAGTTGCACAATAGAGCGCGCTGATTGGTTTGAACCAAGCCTTACTCATGCATTAATGCAACACACTGTAAGACGTAATAAGACTCACTCTGGCTCAGACGTCCAGTCTGCACGCTGGAATACAAAGCTATTATGTCATGACCGTGACGCAGCTTCAAAAATTCGTTTCAAAAAGGAAGTACGAATTTGCTTGAAATAACGCAAAAACAACCAATTTACACTTTTTCGTGAAATATAAGTGTCCTAATAGTGTTTTTAGCAGTGTGGGACACATATACGACTGTCAACAGCTCAAAAAATGTGTTTTGGTGTTTCGTGACCCTTTAATTGATTTAACAAATTTAAAAAGTCGTCTCTCAAAAAACTGAAAAATTAATTCAGCTTATTTTAAATAAGTAGTTTGAACAAGCAGCAAAAATCTTTTTTGAGTGTGTAGATGAATGTGATTTTTAAAATTATTATTTATTTATTTTATTTTATTTTTTTTGCCAGTTCAGCGGACAAGAAGTGTACATTTCTTTTCAATGGAAATAGTAGCATGATATGAGTAGCATTTATTTCATGATATGTTTTGTTTGTTTGAATCTGCTGACATAAAGCCTTAGTAAATATCAAATATCCTCCGCATTTGTCTTAATTACATAGGTTTGTAATGAATCATGCGAGTCAGTGATTTAGTGATCCGTTCATAACAAGTCACTTACTTTGTTTCAAAGTAATCCTTTTAAATAGATCATTACAGGTCCACGAAACTCTCGAGTACTTTTTTTTTAGATGTTAACAGATGTGTGTGTGTTGAGCATCAGTTAAGACAATGTTAGCACCTGTAAGCTTTAATTGTGGGGAAAACTGGATAATTTTCAGCTTTTGTCAGCTGATTTCAGCTTCCGGGTTTGAAATGATTTTTGGGGGAGGATCAAAATCGGCGACATAGCACAAAACTGCAAGTGCAAAGATGACGCGTTGGTTTCTCATTATTATTATAGCGGAGTTTTCTTATCCTATGAGAAGAGCCTGCTTCTTAATTATTCATGACTGCACATGCTTTCTGAAAGCAAGGAAAACCTGCCAGTGCCAAGCTGCGAGACACGGACCCACGGCACACAGTATTTAGCTGTTCATGAAGGGTCGAATGTGTTTGTTTCCATGATCCACGGGGTTTGTTGTATGTTTTTCCCTGCGATGCTGTCAGGGCCGAAACAGCAAAGCTGAGGAGCAGTACGAGAATTGGAGAATGGCGGATGTTGTCTTTTATCAGGAGTTTGTTTACATTTAGACACATCGCCATGCTGCTGTGTTTGCCTAAATCAGGGGTAGCCAACCCTGTTCCTGGAGATCCACCTTCATGCAGATTTCAGTTGCTACCCATATCAAACACACCTGAACCAATTAGTTAGGACCTGAACACCATGTGATAATTACAGGCAGGTGTGTTTGATATGGGTTGCAACTGAAATCTGCGGGAAGGAGGCTCTCCAGGAAAATAAAATAAAATGTAAAATGATGGACACTTCACGCACTGAACGACTGCAAGTTTGCTCATGTAGCGGAAGGGGCGGAGCTATCGGGCGCATATGTTTAATAACTTTATTTATTTTGGATGGTGAGAAGCAAAATTCTCCTACGAGAGTGATTATAGCGCCTCCCGATGGTGAATGCGGTTATACTCACGCCAGGTATTATTTGATAATTCGGTCTTTATTTAACTTATTTGGCAACCGTCAAACGTCATTAGGGGAACGGTTTGAATTTCCGCTTAGTAAGAAAACACTAGTGTTCCATTTTGGACGACACTACATACATATACTATCCTGTTGAGTGTGTAAGTGCATGAGTGCATAGTGTATAGTGTGCCATTTGGGACGCAGCTTCTGAATTTCAGACCGTTTCTTTTTCCATTGAAATGCACACTTTTAAGACTTGTCTCATTTCTTCTTGCAGGCTTTGTCAGTGAAGCTTCTGCTAAAATCTACAGCCCTGCACTGCTAAAGAAAAGAGCAGTAAGGTCAGAACTGCATTTACTATTTTGTTTTAACCCAGCTTTGGTGTTTTTTTTTTTCAAGCTGATCCCATAAGTCTGTCTCTGAATTAATCTCTTTATGTTCTTTAATACTTAGTACTAAATACGGTTCATTAGATGCTACTGAAAATCCTTTTAGAGATCTTCTACAGAAAGTTATATTCATTTAGATGTGCAATGTGTGTGTGTATTACTCTGCACTTTCTGTTTTGTCATATTTTGCTACTGTATTTGTGAAAGTTGAGCTCCATGATATTGGAAAAATTTGATGCAATGTTTAGTTTTGCTTCTCTATATATTTTAATATCAATACAGTTTCACCAGATGACCTCAATAGCTCTATTTGTAAAGAGTTAATCATTTGTCATTTGTATAGGAATGTATCTGCTTAAAGTATAAGCCATTAACTAACACTTCTAGCTTAATACTAATTAGCTGTTTATTAATAGTTAGGAAGGTAGTAGTTAGGTTTAGGTTTAGGTTAAGATTAGGGATACAGAATAAGATACTTTATTTAATAGGATCCTTTACTTATGAGCAGTTAATATCTTATTATTAGGTAGAGCTGGGCGATAATTCGATATCGATAATTATCACAATGTATAATTTTTTTGATAAAACGGTAATGACAGTTCGACAAGTGTTCGATAATATTTACGCACTCTGTGTAATGCTACGCAGCCATTTTGCAGCCTGCCCTTGCGGATGCCGCACGCAGTACAAGTCTACAGCCATACAGTGTTAGTTGCACATGAAGGGGTAAGAAAATATAAGGTAAAAAAGGTCAGAGTCACAGACGTTACTGACAAGAAACATGACTAATCATCAGTAGTCTGATCCGAATTCAATCCGAAAATAAACAGAGCCACGTGCACTGCAAACTGTGCAGACGACTCGTGTCATCAAATGCAGACAACACCACAAACCTGTTTCATCATTTAAAACAATACCACCCTTATGAAGATGCTAATAAAATTACTGACCCAAACAAGTGTTGGTAAACCAGCGCAACTACCCAGCAGTTTCATGTCATCATTTTCGAAAGCCGTGCCTTAGGCGAACCCCCCCGAAAAGACAGCTGAAAGATTTGACAGACAACACAATCTCAAACACATCTCAATGAACACTTCACGAGTTCACACTTGCATTCGTTTAAGTATAAAGCATATTTGGCGTGCTGTCCGGGGGGAGGGCTCTGAGCTCGAGGAGACACCCCAACTCGAGTTATTCCCCTTATCAGGAAACAAAGAGGAGTTGGGATTCGAGTGAAGTATCTAGCCCGGCCCCAGAATGCTTCCCCCGGGAATGCAATGCAAGAGGTGAGGTGACGGGGTGGTGGAGGGACGTTAAAGTCGTGAGATGCTGCAGGTAAGACAGCTTTGGTATGTATAGGGGTTGCTAAGAAACTGATTTGATGATGGGATAATTGTCAATGACGTATTCGATACTGAAACTTCTGCGCATGCTCCTCCCGAAATTTGTTTACAAACATCACTTGATGCTTGCTGTAAACTACAAGCTGCATTACTTAAGGGCATTTGTTACAACATTTGTTGCCAAGCTTATGTTTCCTTTTTAATATTAAGATATTTTCTTTGTTCCTCATCGACGGTTAAAGAACCAGTCTTTATGAAGGACATAATCACCGACGAGATATGCTCAAGACATAATCTTTTATCAGCTGGTGTTTGGTCTGGTGCAAAATGGCTGCCGTCGCGTCATCCAGGTGGATGCTGCACACTGATGGTGGATGAGGAGATTCCCCTCTATGTGTAAAGCACTTTGAGGGCTCAGAAAAGCGCTATATAAATGTAAGGAATTCTTATTATTGATATTATTAAAATAATATTAAAATGCAGCAAATATATGACAGACGTTTACAACAGTAGTGGATCATTAATTAAATCCTTTTATTCCACAGAGCGAAGCATCATGCACCCGCTAGTTGTTTAAGATGGGCACAAACTAGAAATAGATAAACTTTATATATTTTTCTTTGAAAATGTATCTTTTTGCAATGAGTTTCGTTATGTATAATGTGTCATTTAATTCTAATGTACAAGAAGAACGAATAACATCTGAGGTGAAGCGCTTTGAAACAAGTCCGCTATAGCATTTGCTTTAGCGCCAAAACAATCCATTAAACTGTTTTCACAGTTTCATTTTAATTCATTAACGAAGCGCGGTTTGAGCATCATGAGCTGGACAATTTTACAAGCTTTTGGCTGCACTGATAGTATTCTTAGGTTACCTCAGAAGAATAAACTCAGTCTGAAGGATGGGCAAGAGCTCAGAAACCCATTGAGTATATGAAGAGGCTCCACGCATGTCTCCCCGTGATGCGTGATTTATAAAATGAGAGTGCATAGGCCTATTCATGCCAGTTTGTGAGGTAAATTTAAAACACCCGTGGATATAACCGTGATCTGCGCCTTTTTTTCGCGTCCCACAATATGCGATGTCAAGAGGGTGACCGCATAAGTAGGGTAAACTGTCTCACAGCGCACAGCATAATTAAACTTTGAAATGTCCATGCTTAATCAGTCATTGACAAGGTGTATTGATTAAAGGTTATTGACAATCAATCAATCAAGTGATCGTTAGCATCCCTAAATAAAATAGAAAGGATAATTCACCCTAAATTCACCACACTGACCATTAAAAGAAGAGTTCATCCAAAACTGAACATTTTGTTATCATTAACTCACTCGTTACTTCTTCAAAACCAGTTTTAATTATTTACTCATGTATTTATTTATTTTGATGTTCAACAATAATATCCAATAACTTGTAATGTCTTTGGTTATTAAAAACATGAACAGTAAATGCTGAATTAAGATTGTTCTTTTGTTTATTATTTTATTATTTATATTATCAGACAGCTAAAACATTTCACAAAATGTGTTAAATCAGCTGCACAATGCGATTGGTTTACTGAAAATCCTATAAATTTAATAGATATAATGATGTGATTTATTGTGATAATTATCGATATCGACAGATAGGAAAAAAATATTATGATAATTTTTTTGCCAAATCACCCAGCTCTAATATCGGGCATGTAGCCAGTAGTTAATAGCACAAATTGTGACCCATTGACATGTTTTTTATTTAATTTTATTTTTATTAAATTTTTTATTACATTTTAGTTTTTAGTGCAACAGTTTCTCCACATCAAAAGTTACTTGTCAGTCCATGATTCAGCAAACATTTGAGAGACAAATCTCTTTTAAACCAGCGTCCATGCTATAGTACAGTGCTTACTTTCTAGCCAAAGAAAAGAAAGATATCCAAAGACGCCTTTTAAAGTTGTAAAGAAATTTGTCTTTTTGAATCTAATGAAGAGAGCACAATGTCAATAGTCTGTTTATTAATAGTCAGGAAGGTAGAAGTTGCGTTTAGGTTTTGGGTTGGATTATAGGGATGCAGAATAAAATACTCTGATTACTAATTACTAACTATTCTTATTTTAATAATAAGCATGTAGCCAGTAGTTAATAGCATGAATTGTGACCTTAACTAAAGTATCACGAAATAAAATTGAAATGGCAAGCAAAGTTAAATACAACATAGATGTAGACGTAAATTAAACGATTTGGGAATTTCTGGGGAGTCGAACACTATTCAGGAACAAATATTAAATAATCATTGCATGATATAAAATTACTACTACTACTACTCTCTTCTCTTTGGTCTCACTCATAAATCTCTCCGTAAGCTTCAGTTGGTCCAGAACTCAGCTGCCCGTATCATCACCAGAACCCCTTCTTCTCATCACATCACCCCTGTCCTGCAGCAGCTTCATTGGTTACCTGTTCTTTTTCGAATTGACTTTAAAATCTTGATGTTAACATCCCAAGCCGTCCGCAATCTCGCCCCTCCAAATTTGTCTGCCCTCATCCACATATCTGTTCCTTCTCGCACCCTGCAATCTTCTTCCTCCCTCCACTTGTCTGTTCCCTCTTCTCGCCTTTCAACTATGGACAACAGAGCATTTAGCCGCTCTGCTCCGCGGCTTTGGAACTCATTACCACCTGCCATCAGAAACATTGACTCCCTTACACTGTTCAAATCAAGACTCAAAACCCACTTATTTAAGATGGCTTTTAATAATGAATTTTATTTGCACTATTGCTATGTATATTTTATTATTTCTCTTGTTGTTTTATTGCTATTGTTGATTGTACGGTGTCCTTGAGTCTCTAGAAAGGCGCCTTTAAATAAAATGTATTACTACTACTACTACTACTACTACTACTACTACTACTACTACTAATAATAATAATAATAATAATAATGATACAATAATACAATAAAACAAAAATAAACTATTATTTTGATTGAGAAATAATCAAATAATATGAAATTAATCTTTAAGCTTCAAACATTTAAATTGTTGTGCCCAAATGGCTTAAATTTGCCTGAAATACTTACATGATCACATGCCTTAAAAACAAATGCAAATAATGAACTTTGGCTTTCAAGGTTAAAATTTGAAATGTCTCCACTATGTTGCTAATTGTTAATGTCTGGCCTGTTATAATCTGACATTCTTCAACATTATAGATGTTGCTATGTGACTATTGTGGATATCAATGCTGAAACAATACACATTGTGCAGTCCTACGTGAAAGCATTGATGTTTTGGTCACTAATTGTGATTAATGAATCGATGTATTGTGCAGTGTCCTGAACAATGAAAAAAGGAGAAGAGTAGACATAGTCTCTTGTTATCATCAGAGACCCAGTGTGTGTGTGTGTCTGTGTGTGGGTTATCTTTTATTGTTCCCATCGGTTAAGCTGTTAAAAGAGAAACATGTGCCCTTTCACGTCATGTCTTTAATGTGTCTAAAATAGATCAAAACATCAGTCCTCTGTGCAACACAATCTAGAACATAAACATGTCACAGAAAATCTTGAATGGAATGAATGTCATTGAGTAGTTTTTTTAGGGTTTCTAGAAAAAGTGCCAATGTAATGGGTTAAAAATGTAACCCTGTTTGAATACCCAAGTTACTGAAACATATAAGAAATTTGTCTTATTTTGCACAGGTATATTTGTTGGAATAGCCAAAAATATTAGAATATTAAGTAAAGATCATCTTCTGTAAAGACATTTTTGCACATTTCGTTCTCTAAATATATTACATTTAATTTTAGGTTGTTATTATGAATTAAGACTCTCCATATACTTTTAGTATTTCGGTTATTATTTGTTGAACCCTCAGATTCCAGATTTTCAAGACAGTCACACCATACCAAACCAACCATATTTCAATAGAAACCTTATTTATTCAGTTTTCAGGTTATGTATAAATTACATTTTGTCAAAAATTTGCGTTTTTGACTTGTAGTCCAGGGTCATATGTAAACAAATAAAATGGTTATAGCGGGAAAACCTATTCAGGTAATGTATACAAAGCCTAAGTCAGAATACACTGCCTGACAACAGTCTTGACGCCTATCCAAGTTTTAAGAACAACAATTAATAACTTGACTTCTAGTAGATCATTTGGTATCAGAAGTGGCTTATAAGAAAGGCAAAGGCCTTTAGATTATGCTTATTTTACCAAAATAAAATATGACCATGCCTTGATTTTTAATTATTTAATGATGACAGTAAGGTCTGACTTTGCTTAGACAAAAGTCATAGAATATAAAGTCATGGTGCAGTGGAAAAAGAATGGATATTGCGTATGACTTCCATGAGCTTGGAGAACTGCATCCATACATCTCTGCAATGACTTGAATAACTTAATGAAGTCATCTGGAATGGCAAAGAAAGCATTCTTGCAGGACTCCCAGAGTTCATCAAGATCCTTTGGATTCATCTTCAAGGCCTCTTTCTCCATCTTACCGCAGATATGCTCAATAATGTTCATGTCTGGTGACTGGGCTGGCCAGTACTGGAGCACCTTGACCTTCTTTGCTTTCAGGAACTTTGATGTAGAGGCTGAAGTATGAGTTGGAGCGCTATCCTGCTGAGGAATTTGCCCTCTCCTGTGGTTTGGAATGTAATGGACAGCACAAATGTCTTGATAACTCAGGTTGTTGATGTTGCCATCCACTCTGCAGATCTCTTGCACGCCCCCATACTGAATGTAATGCCAAACCATGATTTTTTCCTTCACTAAGCTTGACTGAATTCTGTGGGAATCTTGGGCCCATGCGGGTTCCAGTAGGTTTTCAGTATTTGTGATGATTGGGATTCAGTTCAAAAGATGATTCATCAGAAAAATCGACCTTTTGCCACTTATTCAAATGATCAACTAGAAGTCAAGTTATTATTTGTTGCCCTTACAACTGGGATCAACGACAAGACTTTTGTCAGTTAGTGTAAGTAAGAAGTCAGAATCTAAGTCAAGAAATGTAGCCTCAAGCAAAACTCATAAAACAAGCTCCAGTTGATTTTAAATGGCACAATGTTTTTGACCTTATTCTTCATGTACAAGCAGGCACCTCCATTGAAATCTTTTGGCTTGAAACTTAAGTTCTGATTCACTTCCATTGATTTTAAGACATTAAAAACAGCTTGTTATGCATATGTCACAGTCATACACACACTTGTTTGTAAAGCAAGTAGTTTGACTGTTTTCTGTCATTTATTATTCCTAGTCATTTCTCCCATATGCAGCTGAATTGGAACTTCTTAAACAGTCGCAAGATCGGGAACGCTTCCACATTGAAGAATAAGGTCATTAGGATGTGTACAGTACTGGCAATATTTCCCATAATCAGTTATTCTTCCTTGTAAAGTTTCCAATTTTTGGGTGTGTAAGAAAAGTTTCCGCGAATGCAATCTAAACTGGTTGACGCCCTCATTAGAGATTGTTCTGCATAGCAGCATGTGTAGCGAAAGGGCTGTGCTGTAAACAGGAGTAATTGGAGTGTGCTGTTTGGCCTAGCACGACTGGTACCATGGTGAAGGGGAACTCTAGATGTATAAATACTTTAGCAGCTCTTCTATTCCTGTGGCCAGATTCAAGTAAACGTTCAAGATCCTCATAGCTAATTCAACTTAAAATGTCACACGCTGGTAGATTTGACCACATGCTCCTGAACCTGCCATTGTAGAATTTTGGAGGGATCCTGTGCTAAATGTGCTTTATTTCGAAGGTTTCCAGAGATAAGATGCAGGTTGAGTTCAAACAAACTAAGCACATAGTGTGTTTACTGTGATTTCGCAGAAGAACATCTTGTACCTAGGTCAGCGTCTTTGTTGATACTAAAACAGCATTATCTAACAATCAGATTTAACAATCAGAATACACTTACTGTAGGTCAATTCTCTCTTCAGCTGAGAAATTATTAGGGTTAGACCTGGGATTAAATTATAGACATTGAACAATATATCTGTCTCTGTGTCTTAGTATATCTGTATCTAGATTTGGCTCTGCATCTCTTAATATCCATATCTACAGTGAGAAGTTTGTGTAATAAATTGAAATGATCCAAGGAAAAAGTATTGAACACATCAAGAAAAGAAGGTGTGGAAAGGCAGTGAAAGCCCAGACAGCAACTGAAATCACTCAGTAGTTCTTCAGCAATCCTCTGCCCTTCATCATTGTAGATGAAAATTGGCTGCTTCAGTCCAACATCTACATAATCTGGATGATGAAGATGAAACCAGAGTGGACATTTCAGCCAGACAATGATCCAAAACACAGCCTAGGAAACTCTCAAATGAGGAAAAAAAAAGCCTTTTATATAAAGTATCAAATACATTTCAATGTTTCAGTGTTTTCTCCTTGTGTCTTTTCATTGTTATTACACATGTTTCAGTTTTTTTGTTTTGTTTTTATGCTTGTATTGTTGTTGTTTTTTTATCTAAATCTGGTCCAATTCCATGTTAACAGCTCCTTTAGAAACATTATTCCCATAAAAAAACATGACATGTTCAGTACTTATTTTCCCCACTGTATATATCTATATCTATATCTCTGTAAATATGCCTGTATTACTATATATTTGTCCATATCAGTGGTTCTCAAACTGTGGTATATGTACCACTTGTGGTGCGCGGGCTTACTTCTAGTGGTATGTCCATGGTACATATATTTAAAAATGTATAAAAAATGATTTATATATGAATATGATGACATATAGCCTATATTTCCAGTTGTTGATAGTTTACATTTAAATACAGGTGTGTGTGTGTTTTTTTTTTTTACTTTTTAAGAACAATAACCTACCATTTTTAACTTTTAAAAGCACATTTTAATTTAAATGTTGACATTTTTAGTTTATTTATTTATTTATTTATTTATTCATTTATTTTACATACAAGCACAGTACAGGGTTAAAGTTCAAACAATTTTATAATGTTTAAAGTAGCTGAGAATAATATTCTTAATAATAGGAATTAATCTGCCTCATTTTTGAATTGTACAGAGCTGTAGCTGCTTTACAGGGCCTGCTACACTACACTACTGTATTTCAATACTGCTTATTATGGTGGTACTTGAAAAGACAATTTTTTTTCTGAGGTGGTACTTGATGAAAAACGTTTGAGAACCACTGGTCTATATAATACTAAAGCATTAATGAATCATGCACTCTTCCTCTTTGACTTAAAGCTTTGGCGTGGATGACCGGAATTCACTGGTTCGGAGTACTACAGATATTGATGAAAACATCCTTGCTGTGCTTCCCAAAGGTGAGAATCTCTAAGATTACAATACATTCAAAGGGATAATTCCAAAACAGAAAATTCTTTCCATCATTAAATCAACCTTCGTTAGTCCCACAACACCTTGAGTTTATTTTCTTCTGATAAACACAAAGGAAGATAGTTTGAAAAATGTTGGAAACCTGCAACCATTTACTTCCATAGTATTTGATTTTCCTGCAAAGGGTTAATTGTTATAGGGTTTTAACATTTTTCAACAATACCTTCTTTCATGAAGTGGAAAGGGAAATTCATAAAGGCATGCAATCTTTTTGAGGGTGAGTAAGTTATGAGTATGTTTAAACTTTTTACGTTTAAGTTTAAAATTGTTAAAGGATTGGTAAGTCGAACAATTCTTTAGTATAAATTTGATATTGATTAGCATGCTTCTTTGTTTGTTTTTTTAAGTTTCAGAGCTAAGGAAGCAGTTTGAAACCAGTATCAGAAGTGGTCCAGAAATGAACAGGTATATTTGTTTTTCCAAATGTTTTCTAAGCATGCTGGGATTACATTTGCTGAAACAGTAAAGGAGTATGAAACTAGCAATGCTGAAGATTGCAAGAACTATTAACATGCATACTGTTCATTGGAAGCAAATTTGGATGAAATCAGGGTGGACATTTCAGCAAGACAATGATCCAAAACACATCCAACGAGACTCTCAAATGAGGAAAAAAGCCCTTTATATAAAGTATTACATTCATACTCAAACAGTAAAGGAGTATGACATTAGCAATGCTGAGGATTTGAAGTAAATTTAGACTCTACCTTGGAAGCAATTTTGGATAATAAAAAAAAAAAAAAATATATATATATATATATATATATATATATTATATATATATATATATATATATATATATATATATATATATATATATATATATATATATATATATATATACTAATACTTAACTGTATTTGCATCAGGGTTGCATTAACCATATCATTGTCATCATTCAGGAAAGAGAGAATAGCACGAAGGTTGGAGGGAATTGAGACGGATGTTCCAGCTGCTCTTAATACAAGCATGCAACACACGGCCGGCCTGGTGACCAATCGGCTACTGGAGGAGGATACACCACGCTACACACGGGCCTCAGATCCCAGCGATCAAGGCATTGTGGGTAAGACTCCACAGTTTTTTTTTTTTATGTGCCTGTGTGAGTGTAGGCAGAGAATATATATTCTATTGTTTTGAGTTGTAACCCAATGTGTGGTCAAATATATACTAGGGCTGGGCAATTAATTAAATTGAAATTGTAAACACAAAGGTTTCTGAAGAATGCAAAAGAAGCTACAAGAAGGCGTGGCCAACCGTTGTCATTTTGTTCAAATATAGTCTGTTAGTCAATTCAAGGCTACTTATGAAATCCAGACATAAAACTGTATGACAATGTTTCAGATGACTGTTCTAGAGCCTACAGCTAATCAATCTGTCAGATTCGGGAGTGCATTCAGGTTCTAAAGAAAAAATGGAAATAATAAATTATCTTAAATAAAACAAATACATTTATAGAGATGGTATATATATAAGAATATAATTTCACTCACCTGGGAAATGGAGGCCACGTGAATAGCTTGTGTGCACAGTTACTGTAAGTGCACACAGGGTGCCATATCATTTTATAATTGTAAGAATTAATTCCAAAAAGCAACTGACTGTGTAAAGCCACATAAAACAACACTAAAATACGATGTATATTCTGAGTTCAGCAGCTAATCAGATGGAATCAGTTGGGTGAGGTGAAGTGATGGTGATCAGCGAGACCTAGCTGTCACTCAAGTGGCCACGCCCTCAATTATGCAGACTTAATATAACTTAATATAAACAAAAATGATGTGATATATAAAAAAATATCACCCCCCTGACAGTTGTCATGAAGGGTATTATTAGCTATATGAACCAAATCGTTCTTTGTACCAGGCTGTAAACACCTTTTTTTCTGCTGTAAAGTTGATTGTTTTAACAGTGGGCTCAATTGAAATCTGCTCTATTGTGGAGCCAGGCCTAGTGGAATTTCGATAATTAGCAGTTCCAGTTACTTGTGTATTTATTTCATGAGAGAGAGCAGGAGGTTGCCGCTTAAAACCCACAAACCCCTCTAAATACACAAAGTAACTGAGTAAATCTCATAAGGAAAATAGCGATTCTTGAATAAACAGAGGATTTAACAGCTTTCTTTTATTCTGCATGGCTAATAAACACACAAATATGGAATCATCTTACTCAAGGATTGATTTCAAACACTCTACTGAAGTTTGAATCCTTGGAATAAAACCATGTTATTATAAATGTGGTATTTTTACATCCAGCATTTACTACATAAAGCTGTATTTCATTGATAAGCCGCACAAACTGCCGTCTTTATCACAGAAGCATAATCTTTATGTCATTATGGACTGATTAAATCTAATTTAATTTAAAAATTAGTTGTTTTTTTTAATAGCTTATCATCTTGTTAGTAATTTTAATAGTAACATTTACTATCGTTGTAGTAAATATTGCTCCATCTGAACAAGGTTTACCAGAACTGGCTTTACTGACAAATGCACATAGAAATAGCTTTTGATTAATCGCCCGGCCCTAATAACGACAAACCCAATTGTTGAGTTGAAAAAAGTGTCATGTAAATTTATTTGAAGAAAGTAATCAGATACAATTTTAGGTTATCAATCTACCAAAAAAAAAAACAGAAAAAACATAGCACCACACTTAACCTCTAGCAATACCTACACAAACCCTAACATTGTTGCAAGTTTTGGACAAGTAAGGAGTACTTCTTTAATAATTAACTTGTTGCTCTTTCATTCCTCTTTCATTCCTTCCTGTTTGTTATGCTGTAGTGCGGCGCTACAGTCGTGAAGAGATAGAAGCTCCAGAGCGGCAATCCAGAGCTCGGACGCGTCCAGATCCACAGCCGTCCACCCATCCTGTCCCAGCCAACCCTACCCCACCGGGGTCTGATGCAACAGGGTCTAAAGCTGAGCGTATCGCACGCTACAAAGCTGAACGGCGGCGACAGTTATCAGAGCGTTATGGAATCCTTCTTGATCAAGAGGTGGATCTGGATTACGCACCACGTTATACACGTGCACGGAGAGAGTCTGACCTGTCAGAGAGAGGGGCTCCACCTGACAGGGGGCGTGGGGAGAGTCGGACAAGGGGCGGGGCATTGCAAGATCAAGAAGAGGGGCGGGACCGAAGCAGCAGCAGGTCTAAATACAGCAGTTCTGGAATGGGCCGGGTCTTCATGTCATCTGACCCCACCCCCAATCAAGCTCCGCCTCCATCAGGCATTGATGCTGAGCGAGAGAGAGAGAGGGCAATGAACTTGGAAAACTATAGACGGGCCCCTGACCGAAGTTCAAAGCCACACCCACAGGAAACTCCCATGGAAACATCAGCAGCCCAGCCAACGAGAGGGGTTGCTGTTATAACTGTGGCGAGTTCTCCTAGGACAGCACGCAGGGCTTCGTTACCCACAACAAAATATGGCATCTCTCCTGGAGATCTGTTCATCGAGCAGCAAGCTCAAAATATTCTCAACAGACAGGGGTAAGTATGTGTCATGTTTGCTATTGAGCAGCTATTAGCAATATATTAAAATACGAATTTGAATATGTTGGAAAATATAAATGAGTTATAATGGGTATGTGAATTATGGGATGAGGAACAGCATATTTTCAAATTCTCATGAGAAAAGCTGCAGAAAACGAGTTCAGCTTCAAAAAAAAGTTGCATTTTATAAATCTTTTAATTAAGTAGATTCAACAGGGTTAACAATTGCCATCATCTATCTATATCAGTAACCTTGTGGATCTTGCCAAGGACTTGTGCTTTGTTTTTTTTCTTCACTCAGATAATGCTGAAAATCTTGAACATACTCCTAGTAAAAATGCTGAATGGACCAACTTTTGTGTTTAGTCAGGTTCGCAGTGATGCCAGAGAGCTGATGCACTAGGGTGAAATATGTAGAACTGTTCAATGGACATCAGCAAGAATTGCACTCTGCTGAAAGATACTGCTTTGCCCCCTAGTTTTAATGCTTAGCCTCACCACAGTGGTGGATGGAAATTAAAGCAAGTGATTTAATATGACAGTAATTGGTTGTTTACAGACAGAAATAGTTGTTAAATGCACCTTTTTTAAATGACTGAATGTCAAACTACGTCTGTAGTTCCCAACCATGTTTAAGTAGTACCCCCAACATTGCGCATTTTGCATCATTCTTAATTCAGTACACTTGATTCAACTCGTTGGCAAATTAATAGAAACTCTAATTCTACGTTCACACCACACGTGTAAGAAGCATCAAGTGTGAGTGATTTACATGTTAAGTCAATGCGAATATACATGCTGCAGCACAATATGTGCGACTAAAGTGGTGCGAGTTGATCATTTTGCATGATTGATGTGATTGAGTGAAACGCTAAAGTTGGAAAATCTGAACTTCAGAAAATCTTGAACCAGTCAGGAGGGGAGGAAATCCCGAGGGGAAATCCTCCTGCCGACATCGGACAACAGTTGATCAAACTGAGCTCTGCTCAGGCGGAAGCATCGCTGAAAACCTCCATCGTCCAGGTTAAGTTTCTGGAGGAGTTGATGAACTCACTGAGCTGGTTGAACCTATGAAAATATCTAGTGGACTCAGACATGGCTCCAAACAAATCAAAGCTGTTTTTCAGCCTTCCTAAAGCACATAAAAAGTTATTTTCTTAACAAAATTCTTGTTAGCCGTTTAGCAGTGAAGCTAGGGACACAGGGCAGACAGAAGCCCATCCCATAATGTGAATCTGCATCTATTGTGAAGTGACTTTAATGCGTGAATGAAGCAGATTTTATGCATGAATGAAGTGGATTTGACTCGCAAATAAATCAAGTTAACTCAAAATTTTCATGCGTCTATTTATGCATTAATATTACGATTTATCCATGGTGTGAACAGAGTATGAGTCCTGAAATGTGTCAGACAATTAAAGCCATAAGTGACTTGCATTATCAGGATTACAGACCTCAAGTATGTTTTGTTATGATTGTTATAGGTGTTTGTTGTTGGTGACCCCTATTAATATTTTATAGATTGACAAATTAACTTAACTCTTACCAGATTGCAGGTGTATGTGTTCTATTCAAAGTGCTACATAACTAAACTTTTTAACAACCCCCTTAAAGGGAACAATAAGCAGATTGATTAGATTATTATACTTAAATGAAGGCTCCAGATACAATAATGACTATAAGTTGAGAAAGTTTAAAATGAAACGCATCCCAAAGAGCTTTACAGCAAGAAATGGTGGAAACAATCAAAGGGAAGTGAATGTTGATGTTTTTGGTGACATCATAATAGTTCCCTCCTCGAATCTAATTGAAGATTGTTGAATGTGCTGTTACTGTGGTAACTGGGGTCTGGGCCTCTGTGTTCTTTAGTTTGGCAGCTCTTTCTCAGAGTGAATGGTCCCTCAGGAGAGACGTGGACAGTGAAACACACTCACAAATCAACTGGCCATCCAGGTATCAGAGTGGGAATATAACCCTTTAAATTCCCCTAGTTTACCCGCTAACGCCATATTCCAGTGCAATATTCCTCATCCTTCAAAGACCATGCACTCTTTAGTTTTCATATTCATGATCCTTTAATGTATAATAACCATAGATGATGGCAAACAGTTCCCTTTCTACCTTTCCTCTTTACTGACCCTCTCCCCCTCACAAAAATATGACCAGCTCCTAACAGAGAACCTTTGCTTCAATCCTTTTTCTATTTGTCCCTTTATGAAATAATAACAGGTGAAGTTATTTGTGTATGAGTGAGTCACTGCTAGTTGATAAGGTGTCAGTAAATGGTTACCAGAGCTCATTTGCCTTTTAATGAAAGGTTATAAATATCTGGACTTTCCAACTGTTGACTAAATTAATCTGAAAAGAGAATATGATGATCTGTTTTCTTTTTCTGTCTATTTCTTCCAGTAGCTAACTGTAGAATTTAAGATGAGGAGATGGTCCTTACTACTAGATTTTTGGACAAACGTTTTCTCTCAAAGTGATGCAATGTCATGTTTTGAATTTGATAAGTGTTAATTCCTCTCTTTCCTCCATTAATGAAGAATAAGAGTTAGAGAGAGACAGACAAGGGAGGACATATCAGGAAGAGGTTCTGATTCAGGACCAGATACGCCCTCTGTCAGACGTCATCCAACAGTTGCCCCTCCATATTTGGCTCCACGACCTCAATCTGCAAATCAGCCAAGAACACGGAGCACCGAACCCCCAATTCAACAACCAAGTCAAGGAATGGATGCCCGTCAACAAAGGGCGCATAGTGCAGAGCGGCCACGATTCCAGCGCACTCACAGTATGGATTCACCTGCCTTTCAACACACACCTTCAGGTGGTATGACAAATCATTCTTCAAAATATGAACAAATTCCTAGTGTACACCCTAGCACCATGGGTCATCAACCTGGGTTCGGACAAATGAAGCAACCCTTACCAAAGCGAGGGAGTCAAGATGCTCAACAACCATCACAAATGCACAGACCTTCCCAACAACCTCACCCAGCATATAAAGACCTCCAACAGCCATTACCTGGTCATAGAGATGCCCCGCCACCTGTACAAAAATATCGAGCTATCCTTCAACCGGTACCTTTAGATCAGGATACTCGCCAACCCATTCAACCTCAAGTACCTACTCAGAAGCCTCTACATGAACGTGAACAAATCTTGCATTCACGTTTGTCGCATGGACATTATGGTCATAATCAACCATTGCAGTATGGTCCAGTCCAGACACTACCTCCAGCCTATGGACAAACTGTCCACTCTGTTCCTTCTCATGTATCTAGCCATCTACCCCCACCAAATTCTCATGTACCTCACCTTGCACCTGAACCCCCACTTTCTAGGTCTGAGACACTAGATCCCAAGGGCCACATGTCTTCATCTAGTTTGACATCTGCTGACAAAGAGGTTAAAGAAAATAGACTTAGAACCAACGCTGATCACATTCAGCCAACTCAAAGAGAGGGTCGATCAGCAACCAGAACTAATCCGCCATCAGAAGGGCTACTTAAAAGCAGAAAGGCGGTACTACCTTCAGAGATACGACGCAGACAAAAAAGTGTGGATGATCCAATGCGTGGTCAAAGTGATGAAGGTTTGGAAAGTCGGAGAATCAGAAGGATTAGCCATTCAGATGAGACCGAGGAGAAAAGTGGAAGAATGTTGCACCAGTTGGAAGGGAGGGAAGGGCCTGTTGGAACTGGAATTACTCGGATGGAGGAAGGTGGAATGATATCAGGTGAAATGGTAATTGGTATTCTAAAAGACAGAGGATGTGATGATCGAAGAACAAGTCAGCCTGAGAAAAGAGAGATAGATAATGGCACAACAAAGATATGGATAGGTGAAGAAGTAGAACGCGGTGTAAGGAAGATTGGTCAAAGAGAAAAAATCAAGCAGGTCAGTGGTATTAAAAGGGATGAGGAGAGCTCTGATTGGAATACTAACCGGTTAGGAGAGATAGAACAAGGAAGTGCGAAGAAGGTTAATGAATTCAAAGAAAGAGAATGGGAAGTTGATCGAAAAAAAGGCCAAGTTATACATACTGTGGAACCACAGGGTGTTAAAACGGTCAGACAGGAGGTACAGGAAAACCAGAAGTTCCTACAAAAGGATGTGGAAGAAAATCATGGAAGAAGACGACAGATCAATCCATTAGAGAATGAGGAAGGGCATGTTAGACGAAGAAGGATAAGCCAATCCGAAGATGATTGGGAGGGACGTAGGGTACGTAAAATTGGTCAGCTGGATGAACGAGAAATGCAAGTAGTGCAGGATCAGCTTGAGGCACTCGAGAAAGGAAAGCAGAGGTTGAATATACCTAAAGAAATGGACACTGCTCCCACACAGGTACAGCCAAGCAATGAACAGCCTTCTGCACATCATAGGTTGGGGCAATCAGGAGGTTACTTACTGAAAGGTTCCTCCCTTCCACAAGCTCAGCATCGAGTGAGTCAGGATGCAGGTGACCTCAGGCCAAAGGTACGAATTCGATCCATGTCAGATATTGGAGTAACTCAACGATCTGCTGCATTACGAAGTCTGGAGCGTGCTGCCAGTCGAGAGTCTGTCATGTTGATGAATGCTGGATCTCATACTCGGGATCTGGGTGGAGTGGCCAATGGTGAAATGGGCACATTGGACACAAGAGTTTCTGTGGCAAAGCTGAGACATTCCTACCTGGAGAATGCTTCTGGACGCAGACCTGAGCTGTATGTGGACTGGCATGCCGGCATGCTAAAGCAAGCTTCTGTCATTGACTATTAAACCCACTAACCTTCAAATTATATCACTTACTTTACCTTGGTATACAATTTAGCTGTTTTTAGTCATACCGAAATACATTTAAACGATTAACCTGAATTTACTGAAACATTGCACTCTGCTAAGTTTAAACTAATTGCTTCATTGTTGATTTTGCATTTAATTCACGTAACATAAACTTAATCTATTATGGCATTGCCTCTAATTATATGGGCAGCAGTATTTTAGCTTGGATGTCAGGTTTTCAAACTGCTGGAGCTTTACCATGCCTTGCTCTGTGTGCCTTACTCTGTGTGAACCAATCTGGTATATGTTCATAACTAAAATAACGATTGTGTCTTTGTGAATTTATTGCTCAATTTAAGTATTCTGGTATGTCAAACGATTGGATGTTGACTAACCTTTTTGGATAGACTTTTAGGGAACTCATAGTTTTTTCTTTGAGCATGAAAAAAATTCTCAGGGAAAGTCCCAGGTATTCCTCCTCCCCAAATATTGCTTTAGAGGCCGTGCTCTAAACTAATACAACCTTTTTTTTTTGTCAAGGGAGTCTAAAGGAGACCAGGTTCCAGTAGAGCCTGATCCAGTTGTTAGCCCGGACCGGGACAGAGGAACACGTCGGCCCAGACGTTACATTTCCCCTAGTGATGACAGGAAATCATCTGAGAGGTTTAGAACCCAGCCAATTACATCAGCCGAAAGAATGGAGTCTGATAGGTACAAAAAACTGACACTACCAATTTGTTATCTGTAGAGGTAAATTGTCACTGCCTTATGTCTTTTCTATGGATTACATTTTCCAAAGCATTGCAGTAAATGTGCTTTCTATAATCTGCATTTGTTCTATGTAATTACTTTTTCTTTTTTTGTTGTCATCATGCCATCATAGTTCAATCAAGGTCAATAATTGTAGCTCTTTTGTGCGTACGTCTTCAGGTCGCGTCTTAGTCCAGAGTTTCAACATTCAAACTGTGAGTCAAAATCAAACACATTTGAATTGAATATTGGCAGCTATAATTTAGACATAGTAACATCTGTAAACAAGGTTTGTATTTAGTAAGCTAAGGTAACCCTTTTTATTTTACAGTGGATGAGGAAAAAATGGATGAACGTGCCAAAATGAGCGTGGCAGCCAAGAGGTCTCTTTTCAGGGTATAAACTCTCTGAAGCACACACAACTTGTTAATAAACGAACATTAATAATGACTAAATGTGGGGTCTTCTCAGCAAGAACATCACTAGTTTGAGCCCCAGGTGTGTCAGTTGGCGATTCTGTGTGGAGTTTGCATGTTCTCACTGAGTTTGCATGGGTTTCATCTGGGTGCTTTGGTTTCCCCCCACAGTCCAAAGACATGTGCTATAGGTGAATTGAATAAACTAAAAAGGCCGTAGTGTATATGAAGGCAAGAGTGTATGGGTGTTTCCCAGTGCTAGGTTGTGGCTGCAAGGGCATCCGCTGCCGTAAAACAAATGCTGGATAGGTTGGCGGTTCTTTCTGCTGTGGCAACCCCTGATTAATAAAGCCTAAGACTAATCCGAAGGAAAATGAATGAGTTAATGTTGTATAAAAGAGCTTTTTCCCCTTTGTTTACTTGTGTTATTGTTTTGCAGGAGCTGGAGAAGACTTCGGATGGAACTGTACCCAAACCTCGGTCACGTAATGCTGCCGTTGAGCGAAGACTCAGACGAGCACAGGACCGTTCACGGACACAACCAGTTACAACTGAAGAAGTTGTCATCGCTGTTACGTAAGTCTTTTCCTACTTTTTGTGATGCAAAGTCCAATCTTCATATCATCTTCTCATTCCTAAAATCTTTGAGTTTGTTTGGCCTGAAGATACATTTGGCATAAGGAACTTACAGTATAGGGAAAAAAATAATTCTGTTTACTTCACACCGTTTAAAACCGTTTGAATTTTGAAGCAAAAATGAAGCAAAAACATGCAGGAGTAAGATGTGCAAAGTGAATACTGCATTGCAAACTCATGGATGTACAATGCAGTTGAATTGAGGGGATTCGTAAAGGCAAAGCTGGATAAAAATTTTGCCAAAAAAAAAAAAAGTTCTGTCTGGTTCTCAAATCTGATTGGCTGATAGCCGTGCGATATTCTGCAATATCAGAACTCCTACAGCCTCTTTACCCTTTGTGTATTACTCCGCCCACATACAGCCAGCAAAAAGCAGACACTAAAGCTCTAAATTTTAAAAGATGCACGCTCAACTGTTTAACTGTCAGCTTGTGATTTGAATCCGGAAGAAAGTAGTTCCTCATACAAAAGAGTTTTTGAGACTCTCCATGTTTGATTTAGTTTTTATATACACAATTATGCCGTCCAACTGTTGTATAAACGCAATATCACACTCGTAGCAGTGCGATATCGCACTGCTACTCGTGTGATATTGCTCATATAAATATATATATATATATATATATATATATATATATATATATATATATATATATATATATATATATATATATATATATATATATATATAATATTAGGGTTGTCAAGATACTTGAATTCGGTACCAATTAATACTGTAATTTTAAAAACTTCCATTTTTTTTTTGCAATGCTTGATTTTTATTTTCATTTCTTTGTTTATGTTTGCAAACTTACTTTTTAATTCTCAAAACGTAATTTTCCCTTCCCTTTTTTGAGATTTGCATTATTTTTACATTTTCTTTGCTCAATTCTTATAGTCACACATTGTCACTATTTTTCATTTGCACATCTTTATGTTGTGCTGTATTTAAGGCTCTGTATTGACTCCATACAATTTGTGGCATTTTTACAATGTCAGTTCATATGTTGGTAACAAGCTCCATGAAACTTCTCTTAAATTTTAAGCGAAAGAATAAAAATTGATGGGTGGATACCTGAATACATTTTGAATCTAAAATGCTTAAATGTGATAGGGAACGTTTTATTGTTACTAATTGTTGTTTAACTAATATAACTCGTATAGTTAACAATAACATTTTTCTCAATGTTGTGCTTTAGTTCAAGATGCTAACCAAAAGATGACTTAATCATTTTATAATGAATGAAGCTGAATGTATGATTCAGAAGGCAGAAACAGTCAAATGTAGGGACAGTTAGAGTCTTTAGGTTTTTATTTTCATTACAAAATATCCCTAAATACACACACAAACGTAAAATAAGATCAAAAACTGTAGGTTTAGGAGATGCAAAATGTACCCGCAATTCTAGAATATCCCAGATACATTACATATGTTCATCTATGACCACTCATATTCCCATGATCTCTGCTAACATCTTGAAAGACTTTTTAAACACCTTTTTACTCTTTCTTAGCTCAAGATACTAACCAAAAGATGACTTAATCATTTCATGATAACTGAATCTGAATTTATGAATCAGTAGAAAGAAATGGTGAAAAATAGGTTTAGTTGGAGTCTTTAGATTGATGTTATCATGAAAAAAAATGTCACTAACTACACACACAAACGTCAAATAATAATAATAAAAAAGATAGGTTTATTTAGAAAAGTGTTTTCCAACCCTGTTTCTGAAGACACAAACAGTACAAATTTTGGATGTCTCTCTTATCTGACCTATTACCTTCAAGGTTTGTAGTCTCTTGTAATGTTCTGATGAGGTGTGTTTGATTAGGAAGAGGTTGAAAATGTGTACTGTTGGTGTGCCTTCAGGAACAGGGTTGGGAAACACTGATCTAGAACATGCTAAATGTACCCCCAACTCTAGAATCCCTTCACATTCCCATAATCACTGGTTTGTTTCTAAAAGACTTTTAGATTTTTTTCACTCCTAATTGTTGTTCACCTCACTCTACCATTGCGTTTGTTTTGTCCTCCTCTAAAGTTCTCCTGCTCCCCCTTCTCAAGTCATTCCTGTTCACACCACTGCTCCCAGAATCCCCAGTCCTGCGGTAGTCAGCACATCCATGACTAGCTTCAGGTATCATTTCAATGCATATTTTGCATGCGTTTGTGTGTGCATGATCATTTAGGACATTTTGGGCTGCATGTTTTTATATTTCTCCAATAATTTGATTGTTGTTGTTATTATTTTTGTTACTGTTGGTATTATTCTAAGGTCGCGAGTGGTTGTGAAAGAATTTCACTGCATTTCATTTCATTAACAGTATGGCTTCATATACTGTAAATAGAAAACTCTGAGCAAGCTTTGAAGAAAGAGATTGGTTCATTCATTCACCGGTGCATCGACTGAATGGATCCTCAAAATGTTGCCAGCCTCAGTGGTGATGTTTACTTCAAGTGCGCCATCTGCTGGTGACTTTACGTTCACGCGCTGTTGGAAATTGTGACTAGAAGTGTGTCAACAGAATGTCTGGCATGCAGTTATGAGGTTCTGCAGGCCTGTGTTTTTGTAATACGAGCAAGTGTCTGGAAAAGTAAGAGTATATGAATGTGTTTTTGAGCATGTGCAGATGTTTTGGGTGTTTTGCATCAGCGCGTGGTCACCAGAGCAGCTGTAAATAGCCACACGTTCTGCGTTGTCCATGCACACCCAAATGTCAAAGGTGTCACTCGTCTGACAGTTGTACAAGAGAGGCAGAGGTGGGAAAGTTCACGTAAACTAGAAAGGTAAAAGGAAAGCATGAATTAAATAGTAAACTTGAATTTAAATACAAAATCACAACAAGTTATGTATTTGAGTCTTGTGTTTTTGTTTTTTTATAAATTAAAGATGCAGTGATTTAAACTCTTGGTAAAATTTGGTGAAGATTACTGTATATTATATGATTGGTTCAGTCTGCCATCTTGTGGGTGAAGCTT